AAGAGATTTTGATCTCGAAGAATGCAATATAAGACCTGAAGTTGTCAAAGACTGATTGTACTTCTACAAATGAAGGGGTATATGTCTGCGCTACAGATTTTTGAACACTAAGAATCCTGCTAGGGCTGCCAAGGCCGCTCCGAACGTAATCTTGGAGAGCAGGTTAGAATCATGCAGATAATACACTCGTCGAAGATGTGGATAAACGGCCATGGTGGCAAGCTGCTCGAATATTGGACCACTTGCGAGACCAATCTGTAGCAAATAAAGCGAGATAAGGAAATACAAAAAAAAAGGCGAAAGTGCATTTTAAGTACTACCTGAGCTTCTGTGAATTTTATCGGACGTGGTAGCTCATGTTGCCGACAAAACTCTTCCGGGGTGACCTCCCATCGCTGCTCTACTTCTTCTCGTTCAATTTTGGTCGCTATGATCACACATGGAGTTCTTGTCCTGTAAGTTAATAACCGATTGTCATTGAGAAATAGTGTGGTTAAACAACTTCTAGCAAGACTATTCGAAAAAATCCACGAATTCGGTTACATAAGCAGATGTAAAAGCAGATAAAACATCAAAAAAGACGCTCAAGGCGAAATGGCATAAACCTAAACGAAACTGACCTATAAAAGTACTTTTGATAGATGGTCGCACAAAAAGCAAACGAATCTGGATTGCTAATGTCATAGAGAAAAGCGACGACGTCAGCGGTTGTTTCAGCGCTGCTGAGAACATCCTGCGGTTGCAGCACGTCGACCTGAAATTTTTTTACTCTCAATTTTAAAGTCCCGGAACCAGAAGACAAAGACTTACCTCTCTGAGCAGCAAATACTTGTACTCTTCTTTGACTTTGACTCGATTTATAACATAAGGGTAATGTCTCCTGCCTGTATGCATCGCATCCAATAAGCCACGACCCACCAAAGACTGCATGAATACACTCTAAACATATCATAGCTCAACCCCAATGCTTCCATAATCCGAAAGGAAAACTCGGACCTTTCCTGTATCCTTAGCACCAACTACAAGGCATTGAAACACTCTTCGGTTTGTTCCTCGTTCAGTAAGGTCAACTTTTCGCTCACGTGTGATCTTTATCGCGTCAGCAACAG